GCTGAACCGGAGAGGCTGCGAGTGAGGGTTTAGGTAGCGCGGGAGGGACTGCAGCACAGACACTTGAGGACATGGGCATCGGTGGGCGGGGAGAGCGAGCACCAGGCGGAGGGGCGAGATCCCAGGTGGGGACTGGCCACCAAGGCGAGAAGCCTCCCTCACCCACGTCGAGGTACAAGTCACAGGGGGATGGGCCGTGGGGCGGAGGGTTCTCCCGTGTTCGGCCGGGTTAGCGTCTCTGAGGTTACCGGGACCTGGCAGCCTGTCTCCATACATGGCCCCTACCCCTCACTTCCTTCCCTGGGTGTAGCATTTGCAAGACCTTGTGTCCTCTGAGCTGAGGGCAGCTACCCGCCGTGGCCCCCGCCACACTGCTCTATTCGTCCCTGTGCATTTGGAGCATCTACTCCGTGGCGTGGTGGCTAGCGTGCCAGCCTCCTGTGGTTCATCAGTGAACACGCGACGCCATCAGTCCCCCTCTCCTTCCCCAGGGGCTGCTCCAGGACCCCTCAAAGCCATCCTTGTCCGTCATCAGAGGCACCTTCCCCGCTTGAGGAAATCCCGCCCTCTTAACGTGAGCCCCACAACTTCCATTCTCGTCTGTGATGGGCTGAATTGTGTCCCCCAAATCCATTCACTGAAGTCCTAACCCTCTGTACCTCAGAATGTGACTGTATTTGGAGACAGGGCCTTTCAAGAAGTAATTAAGTTAAAATGAGGTCGAGTGGGCCCTGATCCAATGTGGCTGGTGTCCTTATAAGCAGAGGACGCTAGGACACAGACACACACAGACTGAGGGGCGACCACGTGAGGAATGTGAGGGCACAGGGAGGAGGACACATTCTCGTACAAGCCAAGGCGAGAAGCCCTAGGAGGAACCAGCCCTGCTGACCTTGGACTTCCAGCCTCCAGGACTGTGAGACCATAAATGTGTGTTGTCTGAGCCCCCAGGCATCTCTTCTTCCGTGTCTCCCCCAGGTGAGGAGGCCCTCAGCTTCCTTTTGTCTGTCTGCAGCCTGTCAGGTGGGCCCTGGGGGCTCCTGCATCATTCTGGCCTTGTCCTCTGCCCACAGTCTCTCGCATGACCACCTTCCTAGACCCCTCCTCTGCATCCAGAAACCCTTCCTGTGCCCGGGCCTCCTAAAGCCCTCCTTCCACCCCTGTGAACAGTGCAGAGACTCTGCAGCCCAGCAGCTTGGGTTCAAGTCTCAGTCCCACCGCTTCCTCCAAAGTGTGATGTGGTATATGTCAGTTACACCCATGCCACTGCCCCACCTGTACAACGGAGGTCGTGACAGAACCTCCACCAGGGGCTGGGACTTTAATGATCAACATACGTAACGTGCTGGGAGCAGTGCCCGGTGCAGACATGCTGTCCAGGTGTGAGTTGTCGGTGTGGCAGCGACTGGCCAGAGCCCCACCCGAGACCCCCGTTTCCCCAGCTGTACCGTGGGGTACATGGTTTCACACACACACTCTCGTGGCAGCCTGGTGACGGCTGGACAACTAATTCCCACAGTGGCCTGAATGACCCCTGATGAGACCTCTCGCTTGGCGTGCATCCCTCGGTGGACACCGTGTCATCGGGTGCCCCAGGCCCAGGGCGAGCACAGACAGAGTCACAGACCCACAGACCCATGCAAAACCAAACTTCAAAGAGCCCCAAAGAAGGCTTCCCTGGTGGCACAGTGGTTGAGAGTCCGCCTGCCAATGCAGGGGACACGGGTTCGTGCCCTGGTCCGGGAAGATCCCACATGCCGCAGAGCGGCTGGGCCCGAGAGCCATGGCCGCTGAGCCTGCGCATTCGGAGCCTGTGCTCCGCAACGGGAGAGGCCACAACAGTGAGAGGCCCACATACCACAAAAAAAAAAAAAAAAAAAAGAAGAGCCCCAAAGTGCTGCATTGGACGTGGCTGGCGTGGGGGACACCAGGGAGCTTGGGGATCGGCAGTCCTGGCCGTCTTTGTCTGAATGAAATTGATGGACTCTAGCAAGTCATGCTCACCACCCCTGGCCTCCCAACTGCACCTGAGCCCACAAGGGAAGTTCATTTAGACTATTCTGTCGGCAGAACCTCCAGCTACCCTGAACCAAATATAGCAGCCTGAGCAGTCCCCTGCCCGTGGGAGGCCCGAGTGCACCGCCAGCACCCGCCACTGCTGGGTGCTGCGCTGTCTTGACATATATTAACTGCTTTAGCCTCACACCCGCCCACGGAGGCAGGTTCTATCACTGGCTCCATTTTACAGACGGGTCACCTGAGGCTCAGAGAGGATGACTTGCTTGCTAGGAGTGGCAAAGCTACTAGGGTTCAGACCTAGTTCTGACCCTCACAACTCACGCTCTGAACCGCCACACCATTTAGCTCCCCCAGATCCCTGGTCCCCCTCCTCTGTATCACAGCCTCCGGATCTTGTATTCTTGGCCTTCATGGTCACCACCGATAGCCCCTACACTGCAGAGAATTAAGAAACAGGCTTCCCATGCTGACACTCCCTTTTTGTTCCCACTTTGAGACTTGCCTTCACGGAGGTCTTTAAAGGACATGGGTGGGTGGTGTGATCTCTGTGTCCTTTAGCGCGCGGAGTGTTAGAATCATCAATGTAGCAGGATGCTGCTGAAGAAGGGGTTCAGCTCACCAACCCCCCAGCTCCCAGACACAGATTAACACGGAGCTGACAATTACCCTAAAAGAAATACTTTCAAAGAATAGCTACAGACCGCAGAGGACTTTTCTACTTGGACGGAGCCCAGGGGCAGCTGGCGGGGGAGCAGGAGTGAGAGTTCCAGTCTCCCATCCTCCCACCCCTGCAGCCTGGTGACCTTGAGCCAGGCCCTTCCCCTCTCAGGCTTCAGTTTCTTCATAAAAACCTAGAGGTCTGGTGCTGTGGCTCCACCACTGCCTGAGCCCCCTGAAACACCAGCGATCTGATGGGCCAGAGCCACTTCTCTGAATGCCCCGTGAGTCCCCGTAGAGAGCAAGGGCTCAGCTTCCCTCAGGCTCCCCTGGGCTGCAGGTTTGGGACCCAGAAAACCTTGCTCCATTTAGCTCTCTCTCTCTCTCCCTCTTATTGAAGCCACTGTTTATTAAGGACCTGTTAGACACTCTATAAATATTACTGCATTTCAACTTTACCGAGAGTGTTATTAGCCCCATTTTACAGCCAAATAAACTGAGGCTTAGCAAAATGGAAAAGCTTGTCCCAGCCAGTGAGTGATGGAACCAGGTTAAAATCCAGATTCTTCTGACTGGTGTACACGCTGCCCCTTGGCTCCCTTTTATGGCTCTGAGGAATGACACATTGTTCTCCCTCCTCTGTGGCTGCTGGTGAGTATCTCTGGGTCTCTCCCAACCTGTTCACATGAATTAACTCATTTATACTACTCCACAGCAACATGGAGTTGGTATCCTTGTCACAACTGTACGGAAGAGGAAACAGAGGGTCAGAGAGGTTACTTCTGAGAAAGTGGAGGCCCGGGGGTGCTCATTTCAGGTTTCCTAGTTTCTAAGCCCAGCCTTTGCCATTACACTCCTGGGCCTCTGGTACAAATGTACAGCTTACAGAGTTTTGTGCCAACTGTGAGCCAGTGGAGAGTCTGCTCCAGGCTCTGTGAGCCTGGCTCTCAGGACACCAGCCCCCGCAGCGTGCCGGCAGAGCCTGGCCTGGCTGACACTCTCCTGGGCCCCTGACGCCAGTGTGTCTGCAGAGATGCTCCCACGTGTCAGAGGGAAGAGAGCAGATCGATCAATTTCATCTGGCATCCCAGGCCAAAGGGACTTGCGGCAACAGAGGGTGGGCATGGGGTAGGCAGGCCCTGGGCAGTCCTTCCCCTGGTCTCCCATCATCCAGACCCAAAATCTGCTGGCATGTATTCCAAATGTTAGGCAACAAAGTCCCACTGAGGTAGACTTTGGACTCAGCCATGGGAGGTGTGCAGCTCAGAAGGGTCTGTCCACTATCTGCTAATTACGCAAGGAGATAGATACAAGATGTGGAGCCCAGGCAGAGAGCAAAAGACAAAATCACAACTTCCCCTGGATCCTAAAGACCAGGGGGCAGAGCTTCCTGGAATCAGTGACCTGGGGGACTTTCCTAACCTCCCTCCCCATCTCCAGACTCGCACCAGCAAGGCTTGCCAGTTTCTAGCTCCGAGATCTGCCTGCCTCTCCCCATTTTCCCTGCCACCATCCTAATGGAAGCCTTTTTTTTTTTTCTTTCACCTGGACCCCACTTCTCCTGGGCCTGAGAGCCATTCTACATACATAAGTACATTCTGAAAGAATCCCCTTCAATCACAAACACAGTCAAGGTGCTCCCCTGCCTAAGAACATTCTTGCTGCCCACTGGCTTGGTAAAACCAGACTCTGATTTGCATGACAACCCATGAGGTTGCATGCAGTCTGGCTCTGTCTTGCTGTCCCCACCTCAGGTGACCAGCTCTGTCTCCCAGGGCATACTTCTTTTTGAATTCCTAACACAGAAGCCCCGTCCCAGCCATGGGCCCTTGCACACTCTGCTCTCCCTCCTGGAGCCCTTTCTCCACCTTTCTCACAAGGACCAGCTTCTCCCTGAGTCCAGGCCTCCACTTAACTGTCACTTCTTGGTGGTACCTTGTCCCCACGTGACCACGCCCTCTCCGCCGTTATTCTCTATAACAGCCCCTTTGATTGTTT